TCCCATCGTGTACATAGTGTAGGTCGGTATTCCTTCGTGTTTCGTGTCCTTGCTTAGACATGTGCATCCGCGCCAACTTAATCACAAACGCTGTTCCCATTTTGTTTGATGTACACAACGTATATTGTTTGATGTACACAACGTATATTGTTGGAAAGTTCACATAATATCTTAACGTCGCACACTACGCGCGCAAATACAAAGGAATATGATACTTTCTTACGGAGGCAGTGTGGGGTGCAGGGGTGTAAGCCATAATAGTCATATTTTACGTTTTTCACATTATTATTAATAGTAATACAATTGTTATTTATTATTAAACGCTGATATAATTATTTTGTGTACTACTACTACAAATGACTGCAAGCAAAAATATGAAATGCCTTGATAATAGTACTCAGAAAAAAAATATTGTAAGTTAAATTAGTAAAACAGTACTACGAAGCCTAAAACATCATTCTATATCCAATAAGTACTAAAGTTTCGATTGAGCCCGAAATATGAGTCACCAGGGCCTATAATTTTTTTCTCCAGCTCCTACGACGATATAGTACGTGTTTGCTCATCGGCGCCTTTCAATTGTGCTAGTTAACGCGTACACAGGCAGCGCCCTTTGCGTGAGGTGGCGAACCGCAGCTGAAAATGAGAGCAAAATGAAATTTAAGCAGTGCTTTTAAGTACGATGTGTAGACCACATATAATGTGTAAGAAACACAATGTTGATTATAGCCAATGGGGGCCGCCTTCGCTGCGCTCGACAGCTTTTTAGCGAATCGAGGCCGCCTTCGCTGCGCTCGGCAGCCAGTAGAATGCCCGCATTTGCGTTACATTTTAGAACCCTACCCTCGGACGGACTGACAGACGGACGGACAACACACTCCACTAGAGGGGTAAGACTAGCCGTTCGCCGCCGCTACGCGGCGGAGTGGCATGGTTTGTTGGAGATGAGGTGGCCGCAAATTTAAGTGCTTCTTGGTGTCGCGTGTTTTGAGAGCGTGGTTCACCCCGTAGATCTTGGCATCGTGTATTTAACCACTTGCCTTTCCGTAGTATCATGTGGACCCGTACAATATCGTGATTTGGTACATTTCGGTTATCCGTACTACAGGTTAGATCTCATGTTCTACAGTGGCCGGCGCTCTTCCGTGATCTTCCTGGCTTCGTGGTTCCCTGCTCACCCGTGGCACACGCTGCTTAGTAGTAAGAGCTCTCTCTTTTGGGTTCATGTTTTTTTAGTAATGCGTCGTGGCTGCTAACTATTTCCTGCTCTCAAACATTTCGTGGGCTGCACCGGCTTCCTGATACTCAGTCTTTCGTGACCGTTCGCCTCCCATAGCTGGTACTCTAGCCGAAGGGTGCTTTTCCGTGGTTTGGAGCCTCCACGCAGTCGTGTTGTTCCAGCACCCGTGTATCGGGCTCGTTTAATGAGGCTCCATCGACCGCGTTATAACGCCATCGTGTAATTGCGATATGGTTTTGCTGTCTATGGTATTGTGCTCGCGGATTGCATCTGCATTGCCCATGTTATCGTGCTCTACAACGGCATCGTCCTCCACAATCGTGGTCACCACGAGCCCCCTTCCATTTCGTGGCTGGTCTGCCGTCCGTGCAATCGAATTCTAATGCGCTATTGTTCTCCGTGGAATGGTAAGCTCAGGTTCTACACTGATATAGTGCTCCGTGGCTCGGTGATTTCGCGTCTACAGCTCCAGTGGCCGCATTTCTATCATGGCTTAGTGTCTCGGCCACCGTCCAAGTCATCGTTTTATTTTGTGGTGTTAGCGCTGGTCTGCCGTCCGTTCTATTATTAGCTACCGTAGTATCGTGCTCCCTGGCTCGGTAAGATCCGGTTCTACCCTGGTATCGTGCTCAAATACTCGGTGATTTCCCGTTTATGGTCTCCCGCGGCTTTATGCCTGGTCCGTCGACCGTGCTCCGTGCTCTACCGTGATGCTATGGGAGAATTGCTGTTAGTGCACTCTTACCGCTGCATGCTCTTTTGTAACCCGTGCTTTTCAGCATGCTGGGATGTCTATGGATTTAGTTCCCTTCTGTCGCCCGTACGCTCCCGTCATATTCTTGTCGTTCTGTCCTGTTCATGGCTGCGTGCACTTCCATATTTCACGCTACGTAAAACACTTCGTGGTTTGCATCGGCTAAGGCTTCGATCTTTCGTGCTTCGTGTTGCTCTTCTATCCCATCGTCTACATAGGGTGGGTCGATGTTTATTCGGGCTTCGTGCTCTTGCTTAGTCACGTGCCTCCGTAAACACAATAGCTGTTCCCATTTTGTTTAATGTACGCTACATATAGTGTTGGAAAGTTCGCACAATATCTGAAGGTCGCACACTACGCGCGCAAATACAAAGGAAGATGACACTTTTTCCCGGAGGCAGTGTGGGGTGCAGGGGTGTAAGCCACAATATTATTTTTTAGTTTTCACATTATTGATAGTAGCAATAAAATTGTGATTTACTATCTAACGCTAATATTATAATTATATGGACTACTACTACAAATAGCTGCAAGCAAAAATATGAAATGTCTTGATAATAGTACTACGCAAAACAGTTTTGTAAGATTAATTATTAGAAAAGTACTACAGAAGCCTAAAATATCATTCTAAAACTAATAAGTATTAAGGCATCGGTTGGGACGAAAATATATGTCACCGGACGCCACAATTT